ATATATATATATATATATATATATATATATATATATATATATATATTAACACTGCATGCATCAAACTAACTTGAATGAATTTGTGTAAATTAAATGAGGCCACCTTTGCATTTTGTAAACAAATGAAATCATGCCTCGCTCCACAGATGTAATCGTACTGAGTAGAATGAGTTAACCGTGTATAAAAGTGCTCAAACTGCTCCATCTCTTCGCAGCACTGGCATCAGGCGGCACAATCTCGCTCCCGTCCCTGGACGCTAGTAACCTGCTGTTCGCCAACACTTCAGCTGCTAACACACCCAACCTGGTAACCACGCCGCTCTTCCTGAATCCTCAGAATCTGTCACTGCTCACCAGTAACCCCGTCAGCCTGGTGTCGGCCGGGACGGGTGGGCTCCATGTCACCGCTGACGCCCATCATCCAGCCGCCTCTGCTGCCGTGCCTGTGCAGACGTCGACCATTACCACTGCCTCCAAGGCTCAGTGAAGCCTCTCGGGCTGCGTCCTGAGTGAACGCTCGTTTCCTACGTTGAACACTACTCCTGTCACACTATGTGGGGATCAATTTGATGGTCTGATAAAGGGTTTGTGCTTCACCACCCACTCCACAGTCTTTAACATTGTATCTAACGTAATTTAATCTTTGTGCTGCCACCAAAAAGAAAACGACCTCCAATATAATTGGGTTTAGTTCTTTTTTTTTTACAAGTTTTATTTTTTTATGTTTGAACCTCTTTCTACAAACACTGTTGTTGGCCTGCCGCTCTTTGTGTCCGCGTGGAAAACAAACTCGGCACCATCAAACTGTTCATAATAATGTACATATACTTCTTCCTGATTGCGAGTCAGAATTTTCTCTGAAATACTTCTAACTAAAACCAAAAATGTTTCTCTTAACATTCAAACTGAGCTGTTTTCAGTCATTTCACAATGTTCGTTATCACTAAAAGAGGTTTGTGCATCACCTTTTTTTTATTTCCTCTTCTTTTTTTTGACAGGCCTCGACTTAAATCATATCAAAACTTTACGTCAAACTTTTTTTTTAATCCTTACTGTTTATTGTTTTTATATATATTTTAAGAACGTTTTAATACTAATAAGTTAAGATTAACTATCACTTTTTAATCGTGGTTATAAGGCTTTAAAAACAAGTAATAAGTGGCCGATTTCTAAAGGTTATCATTGCTTTAAGGGTCAGAGGGAGCACGTGTGTCCCTCTGAGTCTCTTCTCTGGAAACACTGACTTTTCCATTTTGCTGTGGTGGTGAAGACGCCACTGAGCTTTTGTAAAATGATGGTCTATGTGTGGAGTATTTACACTGACAGAAAATGACTTCAAGCGTTACATTTGGAGCTTTAAAGAGCGCTGCAGGCACGCCGGTCTGCCTCTGAACGAAGGGGATTTGGGTTGCGATATAGATTTAAAAGCAGGATATCCTATTTGGAAGCAGGAAGTTGTTTGCGTGCGCTGTTCCCTGCTCTTTTAGCAGCTGTGTGGTCCACCATATTCTGCAGTGCGTTCAGTTTTGGAACCTGTTGTATGGTGGCGTTGGCTTGATTGGGGTTTATTTTTATTGTGTTTTCTTTTTATTAATAGTACTGTCATATCTACTTGTGCACAGTATCTGTAACCAAAAAAAAACTGGATTGATGAGCTGCAGTCTGCCTATTTTGGGAGAAATGAATACCTACTTTAAGATATACCAAAAATATTTGTTAGAATAGTTGCTGTGTGTATTCGGTGTAGCTTAGTCGTGTCAATATATTTATGAATACAAACTTTCTCTCTTTGTTAACAGAATATAGAAATGCAATATTTTAATGATCATTTTCCAAAGATTGCAATTTTTTTCATTTGATTAAATGTCTCTTCACTCAATTTTTAATTGGCAGCACAACTGACCAAAAATGATGGAGATTGGTGGGTTGTAAAAAAAAAATATATATATATTTTTTATTTAATTTAATTTTACTTTATAATTTTTTTTATACCACCTGGGCCTCGCCCTTGATGCTTACCGGTAATCTGGTGTTCTGTGAGCTATTTAACGGCTCGTTGTTTTCTAATCCCTCATGGTAGCATTTTTTAAAGATTTTACACGGTGGTGGAGCGGGTTTGTTTATTGGTTGGTTTTGTGCTACTATTCAGCCATAAAACAACAGCTTGAACCAAAGTGGTTTTACTCAGTAGTTGCTGTGCCTGTTGGAGCACGCTGTTATACTATTTTCACTCTCCACAGATTTTATTTTTCTCTCGTCTCCCATTTTGGTCGATACCAGATTTTCCCAATTTGGTGCTGCTGGATCACAAAAACTTAGCTTTAACAACTTGCTGCTGGAGCTCCTGATAGAGCCGAGCTGTCTCGAGGCCTGCATGCTTCCTTTATAGCTTTACGACTACACCCTGTGAAAATCGGGGCTCTGTAGTTTTGGCCTTCCTTGCTTGAAGGCTCACCTTTGTAAATGCATCGATCTGATCATCGGAGAACATTTTCCACCTTTTCTTGGCACCGCTACTTCAAACCATTGTGTTGCCAAACTAATGCTTTTGTGGACGAGTTTAAAACCTGCCAAACCATCTTTCCCAACACAGCTGTGGGGATGAGACATGACACTTTTGTTCAACCCCCACACAAAAGTAGCATCGTCGTATACCTTAACCATAACCGCAGTGATTATTTTGTGGATGTAAGCAGTGAAAAGTCCGTGTTATTCTTTTTTTAATTTTCTACTTTTGACTGAAAATACCTCAGCAGCATTTCAATATAGGACTCACCTTTAGACATTTCTGTGTAGAACTTTGTAGAATGTACTGTCGGGCTCGCCATTCATAGGAACGGTACAGAAAAAGGACAACTACTGCTATTTTCTAGAACTACTATTTATGGGGTGTTTCCTGGTTTATATATAATTTTGTTTTTTTTACTTTTTGAGATCTTTCTTGCCAAAGTAAAAGCCTTTCTCTTTGTAGCTTGGTGGATGTCTGTGTGGCTGCTCGTGCTGCTGGCCTCTTCTGCTTCGGGGCCCCGGTGGGGCCCAGAGCCACAGTCCAGATCCAGTGCGCTCTGTTAGCTTGCTAGCACGACAGACCAGTCTGCATCATAGGATGTTCCTGAAATATTTATCTGAGGAAAGACTTAAGAATTAGAGAAATGATCTTTTCTTAATTCTATTGATATAAATATAAATATATATATATAAACACTTGTAAGATATTCACATTTTATATTTGATCTAGTATGTTATCAAGACTGAATGTAGTGTTTATGCTTAACTCAAAATATTTCCCCTCAATCTTTTTTCTTTTTTTTTTTAAAGCTGACCAAAAACAAGAGGAAATGATCGGCTCGGTTGAGAAGTTGTTTCAGCGAGCTGTTTTTGAGCGGAGGGTTTGTCTCTGAAGAACTGATCTTATGACTTTATTATTATTATTATTATTGTTTTCTTTTGGGTTGAATTATTGTGGGTTGAGTTTGCTGTGCTGTCTTTAACAATCATTTGTTTTAACTTTATGCCTTCTTGATCGTTTTGTATAGTGTGAAAGGGCGAGATCACTGGCTTTTCTTAGTTGGACAGAAAAGATTAATATCATTTATGCCTTATTGTTACGTAGAAGACATGAGCATTGTAGCATTCTGTTTCTGTGCGTGTGAGAGCTCAACCGGTGCATTGTTTATCCACTGAAACCGTACGGTGTACTTTGGGCATTTTTAGAACGTAATCACGTTGCCACCTGTTGTTTAGGTTCGAACGGGTTGGAATAACCTGAAAGAAGAGCTTTACTAATAATTCCAGCAACCGGGCGTGTTTGTTTTTATAGAGAAAAGTGAGTGCAACCCTTTTCTGGTGCATTTTCCTCATCTTCCAGCAGGCATCGTTGGTGATTTTTTTAAATTTTCTCCATGAAAAGTTGACGATTGAGTACCTGTTGTTTTGTGGGTTCCTCTACTGATTAACCAAAGTCTTTTAGCAAGCTGTTGCCAAGCCAGCTCTGGGTTTGTTTTGTAGAATCTAGAGTTTATGCTCAGCTTATATGCTTGGAAGCTGTTTTCTTGGCACCTAACTTGGCTCATAGTGCTTCACTGTCAGTAGGTGATTGTGACTTTTTTTTTTTTTTTTTGAAGATGTTCTAGCGGATCAACCAGGCAACATTTTTAGAGTGCGCCGGCCCACCACACTGGTTTGCTGGTCTGTGATGTCGAGAAAGGGCATGTGAAGCACCAGTACAGCAAAATAAACTGTTATATACCTCATTTCTAGCTCAAACCTGGGTGAAACCTGCTTTAATCTATTAAAAAAAAAAAAAAAAGGAAATAGTTTTTGAACGTTAAAAACAACATTCAAACGTGTCTGTGGAGAAGCCTGCTCATACCTGTACTTTGTGGGTTCTGCCACAAAGGGGCAACAGATTACACACCAGTGCTCTCAAACGTCTGCTGTCTCTTTAATAACTGTATTTTTGCTGCACACTGTCTCTTAGCATTAAACAAATTATTGTTAATTAATATAAATTATCCTTTCTTGCCACTTAACTTATTTTTCCGACCCCCCCCCCCCCCCCCCCCCCTCCTTATGTTTGAACGCTTATTTTAAGTTTGACAATCCTGTTTTGTTGTTGAATCCCACTCTGACCCGGTGCAGGTATGTGTGCGTGTCTTCCCCACATGACGGGTGCGCCGTCGCGGCCCCGCTCTCGGTCTCTTGTGGTACCAACGCTAACCAAAGACTTTTAACTTGATTGTATTCGAACGCCGCCGCCGTCTCCCCCGTCCTCGCCTCACTGCTCAGCTGCACACCCTTCGGTTCGTCTGCAGAGTGTCTGATTTTCGTCCATGTTGAATGCGCGTCCTGTCAGGTGCAGCGGTTTCAGTGCCTGTGGGCGGGGATCGGCGGGGCGAGGGGGTGTTTGTGGGGCCGGAGCGGGCTTCTGTGATGGGCACAAACCAATGTGGCGATGAGCTGGGTGGTGTTTAACACACCGAGGGTGGATCCTGTGCACACTGAACCTGCTCAGGACTTTGTGTTTTGTCTTGAGCTCTGTTGCTAAGATACCCCCTCTCCTCCTCCTCCCTTCCATCGTCTCTCTCTTTCAAGGACTGTGGTGAAGATGCTGTTTCTATTTCTTATCATGCGTACACTGTAGTTGCAGGACACCTCCCTTCCTCCCCCACCTCTTCCTCCTACAGTCTCTTTACGGACTCTGATCAGCTGTGACACTATGCACCATGGTCCTTCACTCTGCATGGACTGTGTCCCTCGGGCTCAGACCGTCGGGCTTCAGTGACACTTTGTTTAACGCTTTACTCCAGGTGAGGTTTCAGGACCCCACAAGCACTAATCCCAAAGCAAGAACCCAAATATTTAACTTTTGACAAACGCAGATACCAAAGATCTCTCTCTCTCTCTCTCTCGCTCTCTCTGTCCTGTGTTTTCTCTCCTCTCTGCCCTGCAGCATGTGTGTTAAGAGACAAACCCAGAACTGGCTTTAGTCCTAGCCTCAGTAATTCCAAAGCTTAGATGTATATTTTGGTATATTTCTGAGAAGAAAACAAAACAAAGAAACATTAAAAAACTTTTTTTTTTCCTCTCGTTTGTTTGTTGTAACCTTTATTTCTGTCACAGCATGGAACTAACTGCAGAGCTGTCTTACTCTTGGTAGGTTAAAGATTAGTATTTTTGTATGTTTTTGGGTGTCGTGTGCGAACATCAGTTCACAGTCCAAGTGATCATGACTTTCACGAAAAAGAAAAGAAGAAATGGTTCAAAGAATGCCAACCATGTACATATTACGTCAGTGTATCAAGAAACGCTTTCTGTACAAACATTTCACTTGGAAAGTTGGGCTTATCTAAAGGAATGTTTCCTTTTTCTTCCTCTGCAGTCTCGTATAAATGCTCTCCAAGACTCGACTGTAAAGAGTTTTGGTTTTCACCATGAAATACAAAACCGAGGGGGAACTGCTCTGATCCGATTACGAAAAAAATAAAAATAAAGGCCTCCAGTCACGGCGGTGTAGTTATGAACGATTGTGTAGGAGTTTTAAAAGTATGTGAATCAGGATAGTAGATTTTGATGCATTTGTCTGCTGTATTTTTTTTTTTTATACACATACAAAGATAATCTTTTACTGTAAATGTACAGTTGTTTTTTTGTTTGTTTGTTGTAAACATCATTAAACCATTTTCCAAATGTTTTGACATGCTTTGTGCTCATTACACGTCCAGTGGGTAAAATGCTCAAACTGTGGAAAATATCAAATAAAAAAAGGCTTTAAAATGAAAGTAAAAAGTCCAGCATGTAAATAGTTGATTTAGCAGTTTCAAAGACAAATGGTAAAGAGCAAATTCTTACAATTTAAAGCTGAACCTAAATAGTTTTCATACATTCATAGTAAAAAAAAAAAAAGTATTTAGCAGTACTGCCTTTTGATCATCGGGTACTTCAGGTCGTAGCTGGAGGGCTGGCAGTAGATTCACGTCAGTCCCTTTGCTGGGTTTGGGTCTGTGTTTAAAAAAAAAAGAAAAAGTTAAAAGTGCTGCATTATTCGTTTTAATGTTTATGTTTTGGATCGGGGAGAAAGTGTCAGAATTGATGCTGCCTGTAAATAAATCTTTAAAAGGATCGTTCAACATTTAGAGAGTTCTCTCACAACCAACAGATGGCCACATTTACCACCAGACTTATTACAAACTTAGAACGTCTTCAGAAACTTGAGTTATGTTTGATGTTAACATTAAATAGTTAATTCCTTTTTAAACCTGATGCTTCTCAGTGGTGGATCAAACACTGCACTGCTTTTTTAGATTAGTTTTTATTGTATTTAATATTAAAATAAAGTGCTAAACTGGGTTACTTTCACAATGTTTGTGACGCATCATCAAAGTCTACACATTTTCACATAATACATTTTTAGAACTATTAATGTATTTTATTGTAACTTGTTTTAAAGTGGTCTGTGGGGTTATCAGTAATCAGTGTCTTACCTGCAGCAGTTGTTTGACATTTACACAAAAACCCCTTTAATAATGGGGCTGGTGAGTGCATGTGAAACCAAAAAACTAATCTTAAAGTCACAGAAATCATTTAAAACTTTTCGAGATTATATAACACGTTACTAAACATGCCTCTTAAGGCATGAGGTTTGAGAGGAGTGAAGGAAGCTCATCTTTGTGAAAGGAAACCGTCCAACATTAAACGGGTGGAGGTCTCTGTGTTCAACTGTCCCCCTCCTATAATGCTGTGATTGCTAGTATCACTCAGCCCCCTGTGTAGTAAACAGCCATCAGTGTGCTAATGATCCATTGTTAGGCTGATGGTCCTCCATCATGAACAGCTAGTTCTTACTGTCATCAGCAAACTGCATGATCCACTCTGAGAAGGGGCTGTTTATAAAACTGATGAAGTATTGGACAAAGGACAAAACGTTTCAACAATTCAATTTTTTTAATGTTTTTTGCATCCGTCCAGAGGACCTGACAACTTTACTAGACTCAAGAAAATATTAATAATAATTATTGTTTTTAAGGGTTCATGGAGGCTTTGTCCAAATTTGAACCCAATCCAATAAATAAATAAAAAAGCCACGAATGTCAGTTAATAATTAAATTATTTCAAGCTTAAATCTTCAGAGCTCTTTAAACTTCCCTTCCTTTTTCTGGAGTAGATCCATCACCTGAGCTAAGAGGTTTAAGTCAACAACTTGAACGCTGATATTTATGATTTCAAACTACAAAGCTTAGTGGATCGCCTTACCTTTGCTTTCTTTTTCTTGCCGTGTTTTGCCTACAAAAACAGAACGACATGATGAGAGCTGAACAAACGGGAATGTGATGATTAAAATACGACTCGGAGGATGAACCCACTTTGGCTTTCCTCATTTCAAGCGCCTGGTAAGGATCAGTGTCCTTCGGCCTCTCCAGCTCCTGTAGACCAAAGTAAAACAATAAACCCAAAAATATCACTGCACATCTGGTCGTTAAGGGCTCAGGAGGCCGTCTTACCTGATAATTGTCCATGTTTTCCTCCTATTTCAGAACATAAAGGGAGACTTTAATGCACATATCTTCTTATAGACAGATGTTTAATGTAAACAGCTGTAAATAAAACTGAAAAGATCATCTGAAGATCTGAGACTTACTGGCACCAGATTGACGTGTGGCATTTCTGAAAACTGGACCGAGATGAAACAGAACAGAGGTGGATTAAAGTTAAAAGCATTCCCTGAAATTTAATGACATGTTTTTGCCAGAAAACAGAATTACAGAATAAAAACTGTCTTTATCGGATGATTTCAGGAGACAGTGTCACCTCTTCAGAGGAATTATGAGGATTAAAAAAGGACAGAAGTTTTGAATTTGTACGGACATACGGAATATTCAAATATATCCATAATAAACACATTTATTTTCATAATTTATCAGATTAAATCACTGCTTGTTGAACTCGTCTGTCCGTGTTGAATAAAATTATTATCTTTTAGTAAGTTTCATCAAACGTCAAATGATTTCTTAAAATGTAACGGTCATCTGATCAGCTCTAAATACTTACAGTTTAATAAATGCTCATTTTTTTATTTTTAAAGAAAATCTTTGAAATGTGACACATAATTTGTACCAGCTCACTTCTTCTATTTTAAATACTCGTTAGTCATATTTTCAGAGTCATTAATCGTTTTTTTTGTGTATGAAATATGTTTGTGACAAAAATGTTTAAAGTGTAGATTAAAGGCTTTATAAAAATAAACAAGTAAATGATTTAAAATAACCCAAACAATCCTTATTTAGACACCAACAGGCTGCTGCTTAATTTACAGTTTGGTACAAACATGAAAACTGTGTCAAATATTATATATATATATATATATATATATATATATATATATATATCTGGTCTTATATGGTAAAGTATAATAACATTTGTATACGCTAACTAGAGAAATTGCATTTCCTGCAGAAATGCAGTGTGAATGCTTATTGCTGAAGGACTCACTGAAAAACAGCTGAAATTAGTTAATAACATGCTGAAATGGAAGAACAAGCCTAAATTAGCAGAAGAAAGCAGAAAGAACACATACTTGCTGATTTAGGTTTAAATAAGCAGAAATGAGCACAAAAATTAGGAAATTAGCTAAAAAACGAGAGGAAAAAAGCTGAAACGTAGCTGAAAATGCAAAAAGAAGCTTAAAATAACAGAAGGAAGAGAAAGGAGCTGAAATTAGCTCAAGAAATGTGGAATTAGCTGAAAAAGCTCAATTTTAGCACAAAAACAGCTAAACAGTAGATGAAAAAAGCTGAAAGGAGCATAACAAGCTGAAATTAGTACAAGTTAATTAGGCTGAAAATAGCAGAAATTTCCATGAAAATCTTGAATTTATGTGAAAACAGCCAAAATTAGCCTAA